ATGGCACCTGCTGGCCTCTGTCTTTGAAGAGTGTTTCAGAAGCCTCTAGATGTGTGTTAAATTAGATACATGCTCCTCAGGGCAAGGCTTTAAGATAAGCAAATAAGCCTCTTTCATAGAAAGTCTGGGCACTTGGCTGTCTCTGTACTGGTCCCTGGTGGGATGTGAGTCCTCACGCATGAGCCCTTTAAGAACTGTTCCTCAGTTCACTGCGGCCTTGTGAGTCTCATGTGTGCACGCCCTGTTGGTTCCGTGTTAGATATTGTATGGCTTGTTTGTCAGACGAAAGTCTTAAAAGCTAGGGTTCCAGATATGAGGTTGAAACCTTTCACTCCTCAGGGAGAAGCTAGGGATTGTGAGTTCCCTCTTGATCATGGGTTTGCTTGCCAAGGGTGGGGTTTATGTGCGATTGTGCCTCAGCCTCTCCTACCCACTTCTATGTGGACTTTGTCTCCTTTCCCCAACGTGTAGGAGCCATTCAACCAGTTTTTTATATTTTCCAGAGGAAATTGTTTCATAAGTAGATGTAGATTTGGTGTGTCCATGGGAGGATGTGATTTCAGCATCCTCCTACATCTATCTTGAACCAGACCTATCTGTTTCTTTTGAGAATCTGATTCTGATATGCCTCAATGTGGATCTCTTTGAGTTTAACCTACTTGGAGTTCATTGAGTTTCTTGACTGCAGTTTACCGGGCTTTTAAAAAATAAAATTTGGGAAATTTGCTGCCAACATTTCTCCATTTTTTTCTGCTCCTTACTTTTTCTCCTCTATTACTAGAAGTCCATTAGATATTTGGTGCTATGCTTGGTGATGTCCAACAGGTCTCTGAGAGTCTTTTCATTGTTCTTTATTTTTTCTTTGTAGTCTTCAGATTGGGATATCTAAATTTACATGCTTTCAAGTTCACTGATTGTTTTTCTGTCAACTCATACCTGCTACTGAGCTCTTCCAGCGTATTTTTCACTTCAGTTATTGTATTCTTCAACCTCCGAATTTCTATATGGTCCTTTCTTACAATTTCTATATCTTTATTGATATTCCCCATTTGATACATTGATCTTATACTTTTCTTTCGTTCTTCCTACATGATTTCCTTTAGTTCTTGGAATATATTTAAAACACCTGACTTAAATTCTTTGTCAAGTAAGTCTTATGATTATGCTTCTCTAGAGATATTGTTTTTTTCCCCCTTGTGAATGTATCATATATTCCTGTTTCTTGGTAAATCTTATTTTTTTGTTGAAAGCTGGTCATTTAAAAGGATGTAATGTGGCAACTCTGAAAAGCAGATTTTTTTCCCTTTCCAGGGCTCCTTGTTGTTACTATTTGTTGTAGTTTTTCTTGTTTGTTTAGTTGCATTTCTGAACGAATTCTGCTCATTTGCATTCTTTGTTGTGTGTGGCTACTAATGTTTCTGCTCATTTAGCCTAATTGTCAGCTAATGTTGTGCAGAGATTTCCTTAAATTCCCAGGCCCAATAAGTCTCCTAGTCTTTTCTGAGGGAAGGTTTCTGTGGGCATGTTGGACTTGTCTTCCATACTCATCCAGGCATTTGACAACTGTGCCTTTAGACTTCAATTTCAGCTTGCACAGAGCCCCAGTGTTAACTATAGGTAAGGTTGAAGGCCTTCTCATGCATTTTCTGACATGCCGACAGCCACATGCATGTGCTTAGACTTCTAAATTCCAGGAGTATGTCAAAGCTTTTCAAATCTTCTATGGATATCTCATTCTCCAGGTTTCCCTTATAAAGTTTAATTAGTCTATTTGCATCAATTGTTATCCACTACCTCAGGCAGCCCTGAAGTTAGACAATTGCCTGTAATTGTTCTTGTCAAATTCTGCTGGGTAAAGGACTGTTCACAGTGGAAGAGATCCAAGTTAAGTTTTGCAAGTGGCGTCTTCAGGGATACCCCCAGACCTGTCAAATCATAACAATTTACTGGGAATGGGGCTTTGAAAGGGCTCTCTCTGGTGGCTGCAAGGCTGCTGGTGTTTGCCAAGAATGCAGACATTTATTTTTCATGTATACAGTGCTGCTAAGGTCAGAGAATAGATCAAGGAAAGTTAAAACACCGCAAAACTCCCCATTCTTATTGCACTTAAGCCATATTGCAAGTCATTAATTAATTTCCGGTGTTCTGAAAAAGTTCTCTAAAAAGTAGGACAGTTTTCTCAGTGCCTTTATGAAGAAGAGAATTTTTGAAGGTCCTTACTCTGACTTTTTTCTACCCTTCACATTTTAACATACATTGTAAATTATTAATGTTTTCTAATTATGGCTAAAGTTGTTCAGCATTAAATATGTCTCCCTGAATGACCCATTAAATCCAAACATTATTGTGTTATTACTTTCTAAAGATTTAGCTCTATATAATTTAAATAAAAATATTAATTTAAACTTTTTTTTAATCAGCGAATAGTTAGTTGGATTATAGAGGAAGCAGGAAGGAAGAAGAAAAAGACAGTGATGACCAATCTGTACCAACTGCTGTATGGCCATCTCCAGTCCACCTCTGGGGCTGCCCTGCTGCTCCACTGCAAGTCTCTCATGGCTGGGCAGGGGCTCTTCTCTTTCAGCCAGGAAGGGCGGTCAGGCAAAAGCATAATTCAGACTCTCTCCTCCAAACTCTCCTTTACCTAAACACCCAGCCCTCCTCCTGGGGATACAGGTTCCCCTCACATCGTAAAACGGCCAATCTCTGTTTCCCAGGGTCTTTCACAGTGGTGACTTGAATTTCTCAGAATCTACATGTTCCTTGTCCTCTAGAGCATCTTCACGGCTGGGATGATGTTGTCAGCTTGTGAGCACACTGCCATTTATTTAAAATGTGACCTTGGACAAGTTATTTAATCTCCTTGGACTTTCACTGTTCACTTTTCACCTTTCACTTTTCATAGTGTGTGTAATGCCTAGATAATGTGGTGTTTTGAGGATTTAATTAAACATACATTGTGGATTAGTTGAAAGAACACATGGAAAGCCTCTGGCATAGAGTAGATATGCAATAAATGTATTTTTCACATGACCCTCTCTCAACTCGGTGTCCTACCCTTTGGAATTCAAGTAAAATAGACATGACCATCCACCAACTCCCTTGGAGGTCCAAAGAATTCCCTACAATTCCTGTGAATTTGTAGGAACTTCTGATTCCTACGAATCAGAGAATAACCTCATTCTCCTGGTCACCTCTCAGGTCTCTCATTCTTCCTGTGTGCTCAGCTCACTGAACTCTACATTTTTCTCCTACCTGGCCCTTCCTGACACACACATCATGCTGCTGTAGATCCAGGTGTGCCCTCCTTTAATTCCCAAAACGTTCCTGGCATCAGGTAGTTGTGTGTGCACACTCTTACCAAAGCTTCTGCGGCTGGCATGTGTGCTTGTTTGTGTGTTAGACCTTGGCACAGGATGGCTGGGATGTAGAAATGAGGTTAGATATCTGGATTTTTAAAAACTCCCTGATGTTTTGCCAGCATGAAAAAATCTACTGTCTGGCTCTCTGCAGTGTCCCTGGCCTGCACCTGCATTGCTGGTTCCCTGTCTCTAGGCTCCTCCTCTCCATGCCCCTTAAACAATTGGTTTTTATAACCCAACAGTTCTCACACGAAGAGTGCTGTCACAAGAGATGTAGGGACATGGGGGAGGGGCACCTAAAAGACTTGCTCCCCATCACCCTGAGAGTGACCAGTGGAGGAGCTGCCCAGATTTTGTCTCCATATAAGAAGTTTCTGACCACAGGACTCATGCATAGCCTTTGAAGTAATGTCCTCATTACTAGGTGGGGGTGGGGGAATCAAGCCAGCGTTGAATGCTCTCTTGTCTGGGATGCTGAAGAGCAGTTTAGGAGACACATGGACTGGAATCAAGTGACTTGCTTCAGGCCACATAGTAGGATTGAACAGCAACTGTAATCTTAGGGTCTTTTTTCCAGAGTTTGTTGTTAAGAGTCCAGACCCTCATCCTTGATTTGCAACCTCTTGAGTCTTGAGTTTCACATCCGAAAAATGGGTTACTACACAGTGCCCTGACTACCTTGAGTGCATGGTCATGGGGCCAGTGCTGTAGCTGCAGCCTTGGGGTGTTCTACCTGGGCAGCTTAGGGGGAAGCCTCGGTGGGGAGGAGAAGGAGGCACCGCCCGGGAGTCAGGAAGATGGCGCGGGTCCCCTAAGGTAGGGGAGGCAAGAGTTCTTGGATGTTGCAAGTCTCCAGTCTGGGGGAAGAGTCCGGGGCCTGACCGTCAGTAGGGGCAGTGAGTCTGAGGCAGCTGGGGCTGTGGCCAGGAGGAGTGTGCAGGTCTCTGTCCCTGCTGCTCCGTGATGGCGGGAGCAGGGCTGGCAGAGGCTTAGAGGAAAAGCCTGGTTGGGATGCAGCTAAGAGCCTGTCAGTTTCTGTAGAGGTTAGTCTACGCTCTGTGTGGGGAGCATCACTAGCACTAGTGGCTGCTGAGAAAGCCATGTAGGTGCAAGCAACAGGCAAACGGCAATATGTGCATTGGGGGTGTAGGGATTTGACACTTCACACAAAGAGCTTTGCTTTTTTGCTCAGAGCTTCTTACTTAGGTGACTGACAGTTGAAATTTGTGGAAAATCCTAATGGAAATTTGACTCATTAAGGTGAGGCTTAGCCCAGCCTGGCTGTAACAGAGTGACCTCTGAGCTGACCACACTGACACTGGTGGCCAGGGCTGCCTGGGGCAGGCTGTTGAATGGAGAAGCAGGGGAGGGCTTCCAGTGGGTATAGGGCTGGAAAGTGTGAGACCATGGGACTGATTTTGCCACAGGGAGGGGTCTCTCCAACACAGTGCCAGGCGTATCACAGAGTGAGGCTGTTTATAATTGATTCTGCACTCATGATCGAGGTCCTACTGTAGGTGCTGGGGATGATATGAAAGAGCAGAATGAGTTACTCTAACTATTGGGCTGCGATCCCAGAACTAACACTTTGCTCCGCCCCTGGGGAGGGAAGAGCATAAGCGGCTTGTCTGAGTGAAGCTTCTCCTCTGCTTTTGTCTCTGCCTCCTGGATGCTTCCTTTGCAGCGGGACAGGCTGGCAGGCAGCCTGCGATGGGGCCCTGCTCAGAAGACCCCCCCCTCTGCTGGGCCTCCTGGATCCTGGGCTTCAGCAGCCTCCTCCTCAGTGAGTGGTCCGGGCTCCTGGGAGGGAGGGCAGTGGGGTGGAGCAGGGGGGCAGGTTCTCCCTTCCCTGTCTGCTGTCTTTGGTGAACAAAAGACCAAACAACTCTTATAATTTAGCAAATGCACTGTCCATGGGTGAACAGAAGGAACAAATGGCTTTTTGGTTGTGGAGAGTCTGGGAGCCCTGAGCTAGGGCGGCCTTGACCGTATTAAGGGGACCATTAACAGGGAGGTGAGGCCACTTCTGCTGCAATGACAGGGAAGCCAGGGCAGCCTGGAGCTGCCTGAGGAGAGGGATGGAGACATAGAAAGAAGCTGCTCCTGGGGACAGAGGGCGTGGGAACGGGGTACCCCTGGTGTGGAACTCAGAGGGGCCCTGCCAGCCTCTGCAGCTGTCCTGTGGAGTAGGGGCTGACTACTCCTGAACTGGAGGAATCAACTCCAATCTGGACTTGTTGGACTTCTCTTCTGAAAAGGGAGAGTGAACGAGCACTCCGTGCCTGGGTTTGGGGCTTAGCCCCAAGCACCAAGGAGAGAGTCCCTGAGAATCTCACCTTTAACTTCAAATTGCTTGTGAATTTTGAGTTCCAGTACAGTGTTAGTTTTCATCTTAAATGTTAGGAAGCATTTATCTTAGTGTAAAGTGAATCCTCTAGGACGATGCCTTTTTCCTGCCTGTGAGTTGCATCTTCCTCCCCTGACAAATGTGGCTCAGGTCCTGGAGACCCCAGACTGAAAGCAGTTCTTTAGAGAAAAATCATGGAAACACAGGAGGCACCTGCAGTTTGGGAATCATTGTACAAACTGAGGACTATCTGTACCATGGGATAACACGGACGATAAAAACCAAATGTACCAGTTGTCCGGGAGGGATTTCCAATTTCCATGAGTTCAGAGGCATGGATTTCCACGAGCAAGATGCAGGAGGATGAATACCATGAAATCTAATTTTGTAAATGAACAGGAGCCTTCAAAATTTAAGGGTGTCTGTGTACCCACATGTTTACAAATGGAGAAAATGTGGAAGGAAACAGCAGACTGCTAAGGTGGGTTTCCAGAGAGAGCGAACTTGAGGAGGAGAGAAAGGAGGGAGAGGGAGAGAGGGGGAGGTTAAGCAAAAAGGAAACTGAAAAAAAGGCTGTCCTAAGGAAGCCCGAGTATCTCATGTATGACTTTATCGGAGATTTTATGTTTTATGTTATGTATACGTTATGTTACGTATAATGAAATTAAAGAAAGAACTAATGGGAAAATAATAATAACTAGTGAATTATGAATTCAGGTTAAAGCTGTGAAAGGTTTACTATATTTTCTTGTTGTAATATCCCAGCCACATCCGAATTTGTAGGGAATTATATTAAATTTAGTGGATTAGAGAGCATTTGGACACAGGCTGTCTTGAATTCGTGATGAGCTTTGCATTAGACCCCTTTACCTAGGTAACGTAGTGTCAACAGTAAAATGTCGGTTTTCTCCACCTCTTCAATTTATTTAAATGGAGAAATATGTTGAATTACATACAGCTTTCTCCATAAGCCCTGGGTTTGGAAGATTATAGAAGGAAGAGAAAGAGAGATGGAGAGAGAGTGAGGGAGGAAGGAAGAAAGGAGGAAGGGTCAGAAAAATGGACAACATTTTATGGTGATTTTTCAGTGTTAAATTTTATATTATTTCACTGGATTTGAACTCTAGCCTGTTTATTACCATGCCCTCCCCAGGCTTGATTTTCTTCTTCAGGATTAGATCCTTTGTGGCCCAGAGAGCTCTTGCTGCCTTCCTCCTCTTTCTAAGTCTTCATCCATCTTCCTCACAGCTCGTGCTCCCCACGTAGCTTCTGGGGCCAATCCTCCCTGCAGGGTGAGGGCTGAGACTCCTCTCTCCCTGGGTCCCTCCTCTCTAGAAAGTGGGGAGTCAGGCTGGGCTGCTCTTTAACCCTCCCCTAGCCAGAGGCCCCTGCTCTGCTACCCTTCTAAGTCTTGCTTCCCTTTCCCAGGAGAGGGAAGTTGAAGGGTGAGACTCTGGGACCTGCTCAGATCCTGGGATCAGACAGCAGTGCTGGGAGGGAGGAGCCCTGGGGAGGGCAGGGAAAGGGTGGGGGAGTTGGTGGGCAGCTCCTGCAGGGGAGAAGCCCTGGGTGGGAAGAGAGGAGACCCAGGCTCCAGGTCTGGCTCTGCCCTGCGTGACCCAGGACAAAGTCACCCACCAGGGAACCTCCTCCTCTGTGAAAGGAGGGCCTGGGCAAATCCCCTCTAAGGGGATGAGATTCCTGAGTCCATCCAGACAGATCTCTACTGTGGCTACTTCAAGGCCGCTGCTCTGTTTCTTCATCACCTCCTGTCCTACTCAAGTGGCCTAAAAGCGATTGCCAGCTGGTGAGCCTGTTTAGGTCACCTTCAAAGAGAAGACCCCGGGAAGTCCCTGTGGTCACCTCCTCAGCCCTCCAAGGAAGGAGTGAATCCTCCTCTTCAAGCCTTATCTTTGAGATCCAACCTTGCCCTCTGTTTTCTGTGTCTCTGCTCCCAAGAGGGATCTCTGACCACCCGGAAGGACATCATCTCCTTCCCCACAGTGTGTGGAACTCTGTCTGCAAACCCTGCTCAGGAAAGCTCACTGCAGCTGTGCTGTTCAGAGGCAGCTGACTGAGAACCTTGGCCAGAGCTTCTCAGTTTCTGTCTGTGATGCGAAAATATCAGCTTCTTTCTCTCTGTTCCCCTGGTGCTGGCCCCCTCTTACCCAATGCTGAGGGTGGGGAGGGGGGAATAGATAAACATAATTTGGTCAGAATTACTGTGAAAATCCCTTAGGAAGGTGCCACCCTGGAGACTGAAATGCTTCTCTCAGTTTGTCCATCTGCACATTTCCCCATTGGAACAGGATGTTCCTTTGAGCCCCAGGTTAGATAGACCGCTTATGGTTAGTGTCCGTTGTTGTACCCCAAATTGCATATTTCAACATGAGATTAACTCAGAATGCCGTGATTGACTGAGGTGTTAAAGAGTGCTTTAATTTCACTCATTAATTAATGAGGGAACCAGGAGGCTGTCACAGCCTGTTCAAAGGAAGAGTCTGAGACCACGCCCACACAGGCCATCAGAATGCTGGAATGAATGTACAAACAGGTGCCCTGTGTTTACAGGGTTTATGGCAATTGTGATTACATAGACAAAAGTCTGGAAGGATACATGTCAATAACAGTGCTTACCTTTAAGAGGAGGCACTCTTTGAACTTTTACTTGAATCAACTCCATAATCCGTATAATAGTTTTCTATGAACACATATACCTTTACAATTACAAAGCAACCCACTTTCTTTAGTGAAAGGGGAAAATGCCCACACCAAATAGAGTTGATAATACAAATTTTTTCAACCCAAGCTTGGGATAGCATGTAGCCTGTCCTTCCTCCATCTTTACCACTCTCCCCTGTAGCACAGATGTTCTTGGGTACCTGGTAAAATGGGAGTTGACAGTGGCCATGGAAACCAGCTGCTGTCTACACAGCAATAAATTTCCTTTCAGTCTGAGGCCTTTGGTAAACAAGAAGGCCCTGGCTGGACTTCAACTCCCTACAACCACCTGTGGGATTGCACCCACGGGTGTTGAGCCCAGCCCGGTATCTAGGTGGAGACCCCTTAGAGGAGCAGCTGGGGGAGAGGAAAGGGCACCACCCTGGGACCTGGGAATATCTGGTTCTGATCCCAGGTAGGTTTGGTCAAGAATCATTTTCATCATAATGAGATAGAACACATTTATGGAACAATTATTGAGAGCACTGTGCTGAGATCTTCTTAAGGCCCCACAATAATTCTGTGAGGTGAGCACTGTCATCATTTCCATTTCACAGATGAGAAAGTCAAGGCCGAGAGACTCAATAACATCTCAAGTCCACACAGCCAGGAAATGGAGACCTGGCGTCAACTTTAGTCTCGCTGGCTCTGAACTCCAAGCTTTAGACCATCTGTTGTACTAGATCACCCAGTCTGACCCCTCAGCACGTTTCAATAAAACATCCTCTGAGGTGGGACTGAGAGGCTGTGAGGACACTGTGGGTTTCATGTGGTGCAGCTACAAGGTGGTGGAGCCTCCACCGCATGTGACAGGCCCCCTCCCTCCCTCTCTCATGGGACATATGGTGTAGGATATAAACTCCCCTTTTCTAAGACCCTGAGGCACTGTAATTATTTGTTACCACAGCACAGCCCAGCCCATCCTGACTACTACACTGCCTGGAAGGAAGGGGAAGGGACAGCAACCTTCGTTATTGTATTAATTATCCATTGCTGTGTAACCTGTTACTCGAAAACTTGTGCCTTAAAACAATACCATGTACAGCCTCACAGCTTCTGTGGGTCAGGATCCAGGGGTGGTTTAGCTAGTTCTCTGGCTCAGGGTCTCTGAGACTGAAATCAAGGCCTTGGCGAGGGCTGCAGTCAGCTCAAGGCTCAGCTGGGAAGAATCTGCTTCCGAGCTCACTCCTGTGATTGCTGATAGGATGCAGTTCCTGTGGCTGTTGGACTGAGGTCCTCAGTTCCTCCCTGGGTGTTGGCTGGAGGCTGCCCTCAGTTCCTTGCTGTGTGGGCCTCTCCACAGGGCAGCTGACAATATGGCAGCTGGCTTCATCAGATTGAGGGAGAGAGAGAGTGCGAGCAAGATGGGTCACAGTCATGTATAACCTCACATCGCTAGGTGACATCCCATCACCTTTGCTGTATCCTGTTCCTTAGAAGCAAGTCACCAGGTCAGACCACATTCCAGGGCTAGGTGGTTACTAAGGGTGTAAAGCTGAGGAGGGAGGGGTCTTTGGACCCATTTTAGAAGCTGCCTCCTACAGATATGCACTTAGCATATTCTGGAAAATGTGCTGGTGCTTTTTATCCCTGAGCTCATTTAATTCACACTATCATTTTGAGGCAGGTACAGAACCTGCAGGTTAGCACATTTAAGTAACCTCTTCAAGGTTACACTCCACTGGGACCAGGACTTGATTCCAGAGTTGCTTCAAATTCATTGTACTAAGTGTACTAGGCTGCCTTCCAAGAATCAAGGGAGTACATTGGATGGATTTCATGAAAAAGATGGGTTCCGTGGTTCTCTCTTTTATCCTTGATCAAAAAACACTCACGTTCCTGTTCCCAATGCCCTAGGTGTCTGCAGCACTGGGGTCAAGAGTTCTGGAGCACATGGTGCTGGAGTTCAGGATTCTGGAGTCCACGTTCCTTTGAAGGAGATCCAAGGAGGGTCTGTGTTGTTTCATGTGATCAAGGAACCAGGAACCAAGCTGGAGGAGATCTCGTGGGGCTTTGGCCCTGACGTAAATTACACAGTCATCCTGCGAGTCCATAATGGGTCAGAAGGGACTCCAACCTGGGTCTGCTTTGAGGACAAGTACAAGCATAGGGTCCACGTGCCCAATATGACATCCCTGAGGATTGAGAACTTGACGCGTGGTGACAGTGGGCAGTACCAGGCTCGAGCCATCTTAACTGGGGGAATGGAATCTAACCAGATTTTCTACCTCACTGTCTATGGTACGTGACACCCCCTCACCTCAATCCCATGGCTATGACCTTCTTTTGTACCTACGAGTGTCACACGGGCCCCATTTTGCAGCGCTCCTTCCCAATGCCAGCCTTCAGGCTCTATTTTCTCCCTTGAAATTAGAATAAATGCGTTCAGCACAAATGGGGAGCAGAGCTGAGATTCACACCAGGGATAAAGTCACTTCAGTGTTTCGGGAGAGGAAAATGGAAGTTTGGGGGAAATGGAATTTTTCCGTAACACTTATTGTTCTTTAGAGGATTAAGTTGACTTATTTATGTGTTAGTTTTCTATTGCTGCTAGAACACATTACGGTATTTCTTCCTATCCGTAGGGGATACGTTCCAGACCCCAGTGGATGCTTGAAACCGTGGGTAGTACTGAACCCTATATATACTGTGTTTTCCCTATTCATACATACCTATGATAAAGTTTAATTAATAAAAGAGGCACAGTAAGAGATGTACAATAAGTAATGATAAAATAGAACAATTAGGGCCGGCCCCGTGGCCGGGTGGTTAAATTCGCGTGCTCCACTTCGGCGGCCCGGGGTTTCACAGGTTCAGATCCTGCGTGCGGACATGGCACCACTCATCAGGTCATGCTGAGGCAGCGTCCCACATGCCGCAACTAGAAGGACCCACAACTAAAATATACAACTAGGTACCAGGGGGATTTGAGGACGAAAGGCAAAAAACAAAAACAAAAAAAAGAACAATTAGAACAGCACACTGTAGTAAAAGTTACTGTAGATCTTAGCAACCTGGCATTCTCTTTTTTTCTTTTCTTCATTAAGTCAAGAACTTTCACCTTTTCACTTAAAGGAAGCACTTCCTGACTTCTCTTTGGTCTATCTGAATTGCCAGCACTGCTGCTCTGTGCTTTGGGGTCCTGACTAAGTGAAATACGGGTTACTAGAGCACAAGCACTGCAATAACGCCACAGTCATCTGATAGCTGAGACGGCTACTAAGTGACTAACGGGCGGGTAGCCCATACAGCTACACTGGACAAAGGGATACACCGGACAAAGGGATGATTCACGTCCCAGGTGGGAGGGAGTGAGACGATGTGAGATTTCACAGGCTACTCAGAATAGCGTGCAATTTAAAATATGAGTTTTTTATTTCTGGAATTTTCCATGTAATATTTTCTGACTGGTTGACTGTGGGTAAATGAAACTGTAGAAAATGAAACCAATGATAACAGGGACTTGGTGGCTTAAATCAACACAAGTTTATTATCTTGCTGTGCTGTATGTAGGTCAGAAGTCAGACACGGGTCTCACTGGGCTCAAGTCAGGGTGTTGGCAGGGCGTGTTCCTTTCTGCAGGAGCCAGGGGAGAAACACTTTCTTGCCTTTTCCGCCTTCTAGTGGCTGACTGCATTCCTAGCTCTTGACCACCTTTGTCTGTCTTCAAGGCAGCAATGGTGGGACGAGTCCTCCTCACATTGCCTCCTCTGAACTCTCCTTCCTTCTTCCACTCTTGAGGACCCTTGTGATTACACAGATCTCATCCAGATAATCCAGAATAATCTCCCTATTTTAATGTCAGCTGATCAGCAACCTTAATTCTATCTATTACCTTACTTCCCCTTTGCCATTAACCTAACACATTTACAGGTCCTGAGGATTAGGATGCGGACATCTTTGGGTGGGAGGCCCTGTTCTGACTGCCATAATTCAGAAATCACGTGTAGTTCATCCTCCCTATTCCCTCTACTCTTCCTCAGCCCCAGACTGATGCCAGTGTCACTCACAAAATCCAGCCCTAAGAGCCTCCATAGACGTAGGAGAAAGTCTAGCCTGCCACACTTCTGAAGACCTCATTTAGCCCCTCTTTCTTACCCTACAGCTCCTCTGCATAGAGAAATACCCTCCTATGGAGAGTGGCTTTGACAGCTTTAGGTTCCCATGGGATTTCTATGACTGGCTTGTAAACCTGTCACTTCTGTTCCTCTGTGTACCACAAGTTCAGTGCCACATTCTAACCACACTTGGGGTTGTCATTCCTAGTGGCTACCACTGCATCTCCCACAAATGTCTGCACTTTGGGGTGCATGGGGCCTTTCTCTGGACTCCCAGAGCTGGCCAGATATCCTTGTTCACTGTGGGCTGTGTAGTCCAGGCATCATCTCAGCAGGAGAAACAGGCGAGGGCCCTGGACCAGGACAAGTCCTTCAATCCCGACTTCTCCTTCTAGTAAAGACCCATTTTCTAAGCATAAAGGGCCTTGGGTAGGTGGAGTGCTGGCTTTATTTTCTTGTGGGAGACTTTAAGACTTGCTCGGTCTAGTGCAGTCACATAAGGCTTAACTCAGTGGCTCCCTTCCTTCTTGTCTCTTACTACATATTTAGCTTTGGATAAATTCTATTTCATCTGTAAAATGTCTCCCCTTCCTAGAGGAAGGAAGACAAAGCTTTAATGAGATAATGGGTGAGAATGTGGCAATTGTAATGTTCTCCACTCATGTGAGGCTCCATTCTCTTGTCCCTCCTACTCCAGAACCTGTGCCCCTTCCCCGGATCCTGGTCCAGTCACTGTCCATCACACCACGCTGGTGCAGCATCATCTTAGAGTGCAGGGCTGCTGGGGTCACAGAGGACCTGAATGTGACCTGGGAAAGCAAAGGCCTCCCCAGGGAGCTGGAGCAGAAAGGGACACCAGGACCAGCCCCCAATTCCTGGACCCTGGCTGTTAATCTGCCTCTGCACCAGCCCAGTGCCAGCCTCACCTGTGTGGTCAGCAACTCTGAGGACCAGAAAACTGTCACCTCAGCCCTTGGGGAGGTCTGTGCCCATGGTGAGTACAACCTGCCAGTGGTGGTGGGGAGGGGCACTGTCGGAGCTCAGGGAGCTCTGGGGTCTGAGGATTCTGGGCTTTTCTCCCCACCATGTTTATCAGCACCATCCCCACCTGGTCACCCTCTACAGGAGCCTGGGGGGGTGGGGCACATCTAACTTGTTTCTGTTCTTAAATGACTCTCACATCTATGTGTCTCACCTCTTGCCCATGCTGGTGGGCAGCAGCTGTCCAGCACCGCTCCCACTGCACCCATCCTCCACAGGGAATGCAGAGTGGTCTTCAGGAAAGAACCTGGATTGTGTCACTTGTCTGTGTTGCCTGTAGGATTTGTCCTCCAGGGACTCCCTGTAGGATTCAGGCCTCTGACGCTCCTGTGCCCATGTTTTGGTCCCTGACACACTCACACCGACCTGCCTGCTTGGAGTCCTGAACGCCTTCTGCTATCGAAGCTTGTGAGCCTCTGGAGATGCTGTTTCGTCTCCCATCATTCCTCCCACCTTTTCCTTCATTTCTTGCCTTATTCCTATTGAAGGGTTTCCCTCAGGCATGGCTGACTTCAGTAGCCTGTGACCCATGTTGTCACACATGGCCCCGTGCTGGGTTTAAAGCTCTGCGGTGGCCATCTTGAAATTTCTAACAATCTCTGAACACAGGGCTCCTCATTCTCATTTTGCACAGTGCCCTGCAGGGGTTGTAGCCATCCTTCCCTCAGGCGTCACCTTTAAGGAGGGTCCCCGGCCCCCCCATGGAGCAGCAATGCTCTGTATTGTACCTGTCTCCTCCAGAGCCTGGAACACCTTGAGGGCGGGGCCCTGTCTTCTTCTCCTCTGAATCCCTGTACCAAGCACAGCTTCTGGCACAGTTTGTTCACAGTGTTCCATTGAACGAACGGATGACCTGGTACCCCTGAGTGCAGCCTCGCCCTTATACCCTACCCTCCGTGAGCTGCTGGAGGGATCTGATGTGTCAGCATCACAGAAAAACCCCTGTGACCCTCCCCTCCCCTGCATACTGGACCCTCAGATAAAGTTCAACACTCAGCTTCACCCACTAGACCCTCTGAGAGCAGACTCCTGCTTTCCTCTGACCTTTCTTCCTAGCTCCTTCCTGCCCTGTCCCTCTCTTGCCTGCCCCAGTGGGGTGCTGGCTACTCCCAGGGGCTGGCCCTTTGACACGGACATGTCCTGAATGTGGTGCTCCTCCCTCCTGGGATGTCCTGCCCACCCTGAGTATCTGGTAAACTTCTATTCCTCCCTCAAGACTCAGGTTACCCATCACCTCATCTGGGAGGCCTTCCCTGAAGACCTATGTGCAAGGTGTATACCTCCACTGCACTGCGATCCTTCTGGCTGGCAGACTTTGTCATTCTCTCAGTCTTCCCTGCTGGGTGACGAGCTCCAAGGGCATGGACGAAGTCTTGTCCATCTCAACATCCCTGGCACGAAGCAGGAACTCAGAAACTGGTTGAATGAATGAAACTCCATGTTCCTCCCTCTTTAGCTTCTGACCCAGGACCTTCAGAGTTCTCCATCTGGCTATGGGTATCTCAAGTTCCCTCTTGCCTTAACCTTCTTCACTCTCTTTGTGTGAGGGAAACAGATTCACATGGACAAGCCATTGCTGGCCCCCTGCGAGCCATCCTAGGGACCATCGTGGCCGTGCTGTTGATCCTTGGGGCTGGACTGTGCCTTTGGAAGACACTGAGGAGAAGATGACGGAGATTTAAAGAGGCAGGTTGCACTTCTCTTTTCTGGCTCAGTACCTCCCCTCCCCCACTGGGCCCTCGGCTCCCTTTCTCCTGCATTTTACTGCTCAGGGAATGTCCCTGTGGAGGGGATGATCCCTAGACATGGCCTTGGGGTTCGTAGCAGTGGGGGAGGGTACAGGTTTCCAAGGCCTGGATTCAAGCTCCACTCTGTGTATGACTCAGGTGTATAATTGCAGGAGGAACACAGGAACCATGGTGGTGACACCCACTGTGCAGAGCTAAGCCAGCAGGAGTCTCGAGGGGGCAGGGAGAAGATGAGAGCTTGGAGCAGTGCCCAACTGGGCTCTCCCAGGTCCCCATGTGCCTGGGTCTTGGCATTGCTGGCCCTGCTGTGTCTTTAACTCTTTCCGGATAGTCACTGGTATTTAGTAAGAAAATTTACAACTGGGGCCAGTGTAGTGCTGGGTACTCTGCAGGAATTCACATGCAGTTCATGTCAGCGGCATTGGTTCCATGTGGGTCCCTCTGGGGCCTCTCTATCCCGCAGCTGTTCTAGGAACCTTCTGTCTTGCATTTCTAGGGTCTAGATGAATGACATCTAGAAGAAAGGAGCCTTTTACTACTGTCTGCAGTGAGGTCCAGAAGCCAGACGAGGCCATGAAGATAATTTAATTGGAGAAAGCATTCCTAGGACACCTCCACGCTGAGTTTGATCCCTGCAGAAACCTGCCTCTTCCAGCTCTGGTCCAGCTTCTTCTGCCTCTGGTCTGTGTTACTCTGCCCTTTGTGTCCTCAACTCCCTGGGCACATGTGGCCATGCCACTTCCTTTTCCACCTCCACATGCTACCCTCCTACTCAGGACCCTCACCCCTGCAGGACAAGTGTTCATTCCCTGTCATTGACTCGGCTCCTGACCCCTCGCCTCCTGAAGCTTCCCAAAGGAGACCCTCCTGATGGTGCTTGTTAATCCCCACAACGTCTACTGTGTGTCTTTCTGAGAACATGAGCCCAAGTGCAGAGACTCTGTAGAGGTGTTGACCATGCTACAAAGTAGGGAGTGAAGGCCTTGGTGCTGGCTGGGTTGGGGGGTCAATGGAAGCAGCATGGGTGGGTGGGAGCCCACAAAGGGACTGGCCCGAGGCTTCCTCTGCAGCTTGTGGAGGGCTCCCTTGGGGGTGTTGGGCAGTGTGTGTTTGTGTTGGGGGGAGTGTCTAGTGTACATTATATACTGGCCAGAGCCCTTGTTCTTGGCCACCTGTGCTAACCTGGACCTCGGCCTCAGCATCAGCCCATGGGTCCCAAACCCACTTCCCTGTGGAGCGGAAAGAGGAATTGTTACTGTTTCACGCCCTTTCAAGTGTTCTGTTTCTCAGAAAATGACTCCAGAGGCCCAAAGTTGGGAGTGGCATTCTTCAGAAAATAGCTTCTGCTCTTCCCCTGTCTTGGATAGGGGCACTTGGTGGTTAGAATGGATGAGCAGTGTCCTCCCACCCTCCTTGGTGGGGCTGCTGTGGGGTGTGAGGGGTGAAGCTTGTGTGAAGGTCAAAACTAGCCCTCTCCAGACTCTTCTGCTGACCCTCAGCCCCCCACAACTGTGCTGGCCTCAGCTCCTAGGTCAGTCCCTCTTTGCTCACTGACATCCCTGTGTCTAGAATGACAGTTCCCTCTCCCTGTTCCTTGTTCCCATCCCTGTCTGTTGAAATATTACCATTCTACCTGAAGCCTCCTTCCAAGTCACATGTTCCATGGATCCTGTCTGGTTCCAAAGGTTTGGAAATGATTTCTCCAACATCTGACTTTTTCAAATGCTTTGGACATAACTAAGGTCACTGCTACAGTCTGTCCTGGATTAGTCATGAGTCTTCTCTGCTGGACTAACCTGGGGCTCCCCCAGGAGGGTGTCGGGGCTATAGGAGGCCAGCACCAAGAAGACAAGTACCTGTCTCTGTGAAGGGTCTGGGCCACCCTTCCTCCCACGGGAGCTCAGCAGACTGAGACCAAGAGCACAGAGGCTGCCGCAGGTCTTTCTGGTGCTGGGTCCATGTGGAAGCAAGGATGGACATGATGAACTCCCATGACCCTGTCGATGAGCTCTCATGACTCCCTGGCCCAGAGATCTGAGGTGAGGATTCCCCACCCGAGCTCCAACCTCACATTGCCTGAGGACCTGATGCAGCCTGCACTGTGGTGTGTGGGAGCTTCTCCCCTCCATGGGGGTGCTCACCTCTTCAAAGCCTCTGCCTCCTGCCTTGGATCTCAGCTCTTTGGTCATAGATGTACTCACTGGTACTATGACCTCTGGTACCTGATCTGCTGGCCTAGATTCCTGGGTCTCTTGGTTCTCCTCCCCGTAAGCTCAGCTGAGCTGCTTCATCCCTGACCTCAAAGCAAAGTTTTGAGCTACAGGCTTGAGCATTATGAAGCAATGCTAGGAGCCTGCTGGATGGTGCGTGGATAAGGGAGGAATAGGGGGATCCATAATAAGGCTGTTTCTGACCTCTTTTCCCTCAGGCTGAGCAGAAAGCTGATAGAGAAAAAGATGACATTGTGGGGGACTGGAATTGGCCACCCCAAGATATGTCTCTGGCATTTGGATTATTTTGGGCTGGTTACTTTCAAAAACTGCAGACAGGAAAGCAACTCTTAAAAGCAGAATTTACTTACCCTTTGTTAAGAGACACTTACATTGTAAAGGAAATCTCCATCTGTAAAGGTGTCTCCCTCTCTGCACCAGGAAGAAGGGGGGATGACCTTATCTCTAGAAACTCTTAATCAATGCCAAAGGTAAGGACTTAAATCTGCATCTTGTTTACTGTACTTGTCTGGTAACTTACTGTAACTGACTCCCCCAGCCACCAACATCCTCCTTGTCTTTAGCTGAGGGGGATATTTAAGGTGGTGGCTTCGGCCATTTTGGCAAGTTGCTCAGCTTGCCTGAGCCTCTCCCATGTATACATGTAATAAAGCTTTGTTTAATTTTCTCCTGTTATTTTGTCTCATGTGAATTTAATTCATTCTCCAGCCAGAAGAACCCACAGTGGGTAGGGGAAATGTCTTCCTCCCCTACAACATCTCCTTACTGGCATCCCAGGTGACTGGTTATGACTGGGTGTCAATCCCCATCAGCCCAGGAGCAGTGACTAGCCACTGACCCTTCCAATCCCACCTAAAGGAAGGAATTGAAAAAAAAGGAAGAGAACAGGGCTTTCAAAGCCTGTAATGAACCAGGTTTTGTCCTTTTTTATTAGTGTCATTGAAGCAGTTCCAACTCCTATAGACCTTGGTACAGCAGAGTGGATCTCTGCCTGGTCGTTTTTGCACCATCCTCTCATCTTGTGATGCTGTATCAGGCAATGCTCTGCTGCTTTTCATAGGGTTTTCATGGCCCTTTATTTTGGGATTGGGTGGCCAGGTCCTTCTTCCTGGTCTGTCTTAGTCTGGAAAACCCACTGAAACTTGCCCACCATGGTGACCCTGCTGGTATTTGAAATACCAGTGACGTAACTTTCACCCTCACAGCAACACGCAGCTGATGGGATGTTATGGCCACACACTAATCCCCTGAACCTGTGACTTTATGACCTTATGTGGCAAAAGGGACTCAAAGATGTGATCCCTCCCCTGGACTCCACATTATAAATTTCCAACTGTTTACTGGCCATCTCCACTCGCATGTGTAACAGGCATCTCCAGCTTGACACGTCTAACTTAAAACTCCCCAAATATGCTGCCCATACAGTTTCCCATCCCAGAAATGTCACCTCAATCCAACAATTTGTTCTGGCCACAAAACCTTGGTGTCGTATTTGACTTCATTCTTTTCCTCATACCCCACACTCTATCAGCAGATACTGGTATCTTTTCATTCAATATATATATTCAAATATTTATTTTAATATATTCAACACAATACCTCTCACCAACCCCCTGTTCCCAGGACCATCATTTCTCACCTGGATTATTACAGTAGCCTCAGTGTCCTTAGTTTTGTCTTAACCAGTTAATGTATGTTTTCCAAATTTCATCCAGAGGCCTCCCCGGTGGTGTAGCAGTTAAGTTTGCATGCTCTGCTTTGGCAGCCCCGGGTGCACCAGCCCTGATCCCGAGCACGGACCTATGCACAGGATCAAGCCATGCTGTGGCAGGCGTCCCATGTATAAGACGGAGGAAGATGGGCACAGATGTTCGCTCAGGGCCCATCTTCCTCAAAAAAAAGTCATCCAGAGTGATCTTTTCAAAACCTAAGTTGCGTCACATTACTCTTTAGCTCAGAACTCCCCTTGGGTTCAATGTATCTGCAAGGCCCGGTACCATCTGACCTGATCTCTCTTGCTCCCTTCCTCTCTTAAATCACTCTAGGACACTGGGCTTTTTGTCCTTCCTTCAATGCAGCATGCATGCTCCTGCCTCAGGGCCTTTGCTCTCCCTAGAATTCTCTTGCCCCAGCTGTCTGCCTGTCTCATTTCCTGACCTCCTTCAGGTCTTTGTACAAACGTTATGTTCTCTGTAGGGTCTCCCCTGACCTCCCTATTTAAAGCTGCAAACTCCTCCAGGCGCCATCCTCCCTCCTCCAAGCTCTAGTTTTCCTCACTGTTCTTCAAAAGGCTGTGAGTCAGGGGGCGTTTAATCTGGGCTGTAGTTTAAAGACCTTGGGAAGTGAGACTTCAAAGTGTAAACTGCAAATCCTATTATGCAAATCCCATTATTCTTCCCAGGACACTGCAACACTGATATGTTAATGAACTTGCTGCAGGTCACATAACTAGGAAGTGGCAGAGCTGGGATGAAATTTTGGAGTTGAATTCTAAAGTCCCCGATCTTGACAGCTGTACACTGGTTAAATAAGGTGTAGTCTATCCGCATGGTGGAGTTCTATAGACGTAATAAGAAGGATAAATTGCATCTTTATATATTTAAGCGGGAAATTGCCCCTGGAATATTAAAAGAGTTATGGGACAGTGTGTTTAGTATTATCCTGTATTATAAATATATACAAACATATGTTTATGTCGGCATAAAGGA